TCAAAAAGAAATCTAAAGTAGAAAATAGAAGGAAACAAATAATAATAATAATAATATAAGAAGGGATATGTTTACAAATAAAATTTTTTAGCGGGGCTCAACCTACATACTAATATTATGTGGTACGAGAAATACTAATTAAGAAAAATAACAAGTTTTTCCATCAAATATATTATATAGGTGTGCATTATTAAAATAACATGCATTAACGATATATGTCAAATAAAATATCAATTAATATCTATGTATCACTCTTGGGAACGAATCCGATGTATATTTCTAATGTAATTCCAGAAAAGCAAAGCAAAACGAACTGATAGATGATTTTCGTCGTTCATTTTGTCCATTCTATTCTTAATTTCTCATTTCTACAATACAAACCACACTTCATTGAAAATTTCCATTTTCACGCAAAAAAAGGATACAAGAAACCAATTAATTTGTGAAACCATTTTTTAAATTATATTTGTTATTAAAGTCTTTGAAACCAAATACCGTAAAGATCGGCTATAAATATTAAAAATAATTAACATTTAATCCCAATTCAAAAATTCAAAAATGAACGTTCGAATACATTCATTCTCAAACAAATAATGGAATGTCCGATGATGAAATATAGGAAACAATTTTTAAAAAGAACAAACAAATAAATGATTTATTGCTATATTATATTATTTATATTGTTAATTAAATTTCCAAAAATATAAAAATCCTTAATAGTATTTTTTATTGTATTTTTTCTAGTTGTTTTTTTGACTTATTCATTAAAAATATTTATTTAAAAAATCTTAATATATAAATAGCAATTTTTTTTCATTTATAGATGTGAAAAAATTCTATTATCGATTTTTATAAAAACCACTACTTCTCATTCATTTCCAAATTTCAATCCTCATTTAGACCTAAATTTTTCATCCAAACAAATTGTTAGGATAGGAGTCATCCAATAATCATTATTTCACTTAATAAACATTCATTCATACAAAAATCATCCATATTTGTCATATATTCGTCATGGATTTTATGCCAGACAAAAATGGGCACATAGAAGTCCATCAAGAAACGAATTACTTGATAGTGGCTCTATCATACTGCGTATCGGTTTTAGGAGCAAGAACAGCTTTAGAGTTGTTGGGAAAACGTACTTCTCATCTCGGGGCAATGAATTGGTTTAGATTAATAGGCGCTGCATTTAGTATGGGTTTCGTTGGTATTTGGACAACGCATTTTATCGGAATGAAAGCTTGCAGACTAGGTGACGGTAGTCCTCAAGCACAGTTAGGTTATGATCCTTGGTTAGTATTAATCTTCAATTATTGAACGTTATATTCGATAAATATTATTATCTAAAAAATCTCATATTAATCCCACACGCTCGCTCATCGTCCATGCATTTTATTAGGTACACAATTTTATCTTTGATAGTTCCATTGGTCGTACTAACCCTTTCGTTCCTTTTGGTGGGATCTCAGCCGCAAGTAAATATAAAACGTATTTTATTCGGTGGAACTTTAGCTGGTCTCACTGTTGGTAATTAATTAATCATTCAAATAATTTTTATTTTTCAAATAATAAATTTAAATTTAATTCTATTTTAAATATTTAAATAATAATAATTATAGCGTTTATGCATTATTGTGGACAATACGCAATAAAAAGTTATATTATAAAATATGATCTTTCATATTTTATAGCCAGTATAATAATTGCAATAATAGCATCAAATGTAGCTTTATACATATTTTTTCGTTTAAGATCAAAGTGGAAGAATCAATGGCACAAAAAATTAGGAAGTGCTTTAATTATGGGAATCGCTGTTTGTGGTATGCATTATACCGCATATGCCGGAACTCATTATTTCATTACCACTGGTCAGATTATCGTCAATAGTGGTAGTATTAGTGATAATTTATTGCTTGGATGTAAGCTAATACTAATTTATTTCGTCTAAATTATTTTAATTTAAACGATTATCTAATGATTTTGATTTTATCTTAAATTCGCGCAAATATTATTTAGTGAATGTTACTGGATCATTAATTACATGCGCAATTCTCATAACTGTTGTTGCTATTTCGAGAAATGCTGAACTTCAAAGAAAACGCCATGCTCAAAAAGTTGTACTAGGCGCAGCCATATATAATGAAAATGGTTGGATTTTAGTATCAAATGATGGTTTTATTCCTATCAAGAAAATTACAAATGAATACAGCCAAGATGTAAATTTTAAAATACAATAATTTTTTTTTGGATTTTGTTTATTGCAGCAATTTTTCTAATAAATTTGGTTTTTTTTTTTTTTTTTTTTTAGAATTTAGAAGATGAATTCACATCATTTCATCCCGTTTTCCAATGGATATATCGGGTATCACATGATTGGAAAAGTATTGAAAATTGGTAAATACATTATTCTAAAATATTGTAATAATATTTTTTATTTCCATTAAATAACGATAATAATAATATAAAATTTTCTTTCCCAAATATATATACATAAAGGCTCCCTTATATTGAAAGGCATCTTTTATCAAAAAAAAAGCCAATATCTCGTAGAATTCCTTATTCTGTTCTATTTCGCGAAATGTTTGCGTTAAGTGCAAAGCAATTGTACGATTCGTTAAGTATTCCGTTATCAGAATCAGGAACATTATATGATCATATATTAAATACTGGACATCTAAAAAATCAACCAACCGATTGCTCTTCATCCATCATCACTTCTACATCAGGAAAGCAAGATAATATTGGTTCAAATATTATTAAAATAGTAAATAATTCTAAAAATTATTTAAAATCAATGTTTATTAAGAATAACAATATTATAATCAACAACATTAAACTACAAGAACGACGTAATGATGATGATACTAAAAAAAAAAATGATTTTGGTAAAGGTCAAATGTTATTCCTTGTTAGTCAAATTAAAACTTATAATAATAATAATAATAATAATTATAACAATGATAATGATAATAATAATGATAGTGGTGGTGATAATAGTAAAAACGGCGGCGACGATATAGATGTGCCTCCGTTATGTATATCACCTTCAGCACCTTCATTTCCGTCGTCATCATCAACGGAAGAACATTTTCATAAACTGGGTTATCGATTCACTGATCCAAGACTAATAGCACGTCTAATGTCTGAACAAATTCAAGTGAGACCGGGCGAAATGTTATGTTTTTTAGAAAAAATGTTCGTTTATTCCGATTCGGGTTTAAATTGCTTACTTGAGCCCGATCGAATTTACACTGGACTGTTTGTTCTGCAAAAAACACCCCAAGGTTCACAAGTTTTGGTAATGGATCACGTGATATTTCAAAAATTTTTTAACTCTTGGGTACAGATGACCATGTAGTTGACGCAAAGATTATTGATGCATTAAAACATTATGAATGATTGGTTTTCTTAAAATCTAACATGTGGTAGTGGATCATGCGATATTTCAAAATTTTTAACTCTTGGGTACAGATGACTTTCAAAAGTTTATTAAAAAAAGGCAAAAAAAAAAAAACTTTTAGAAACCTATTTGAATAATTGGAATAAACGACTGATTCCAATCATTTTTCTTCTTTAAATCATTCGACTAAGAAATCGTATTATGAATAAAAACTCTAGTCTGATATCCAGTAAATCGCCAATACTACCCTTAGTAAATACTATAGTCATCTAAAGTCAAAAGCTTCGTTATACATCATTAAGTGGCAGTTTTATTATTTATGCTGGACTGTATAGCATTGGATTTTATGATTGCATAAAGAAATTAGTGGATGAATTATCCCACCGAAAAATTATCGTCATTTCAATTAAAGTTCAAAAATCGGTAATGTTTACCCTTGGTGCGATCATCCAAAGAAATCAACATATTCAGCAAATCAATCACAGGATTTGTGTTCCATTATATATATACTTGTGCTTATCATTTATTTATTGCTCTAAAACATTGGTTCGTGCTGCAATTAACTCATTGGTTATTTGATTGTTGTTGTTTTGTTTGGCTTTGGAATACGATCAATTTACCATAATTGAAATCTATAATCAAATATGCAATTTCTTTTTAATTTTCACGATTACAAATAAACTTCATTCTATTGCATAAATTGCTTTTTATAAAAATAGATACACTCTTGGATTAATAATACTGTCTACCACCTACTAAAATTCCCCAATTAAAAAAAAAAAAAGGAAACTGGTTTTTTTAGGAGTTAAATACTATTTCTACCCCTGGTGAAAATTTTTTTCTAATGGAAATTTCTGTTTACTAGTCCATTGCATTATGAACAACAAATAGAGCCCTGAAAAAGTTATCCAATAAAACTTCTTCGAGATGTTTTTCCTTTTGTTTGTTGTCGTTTTCAACATTTCGAGATATGACATAACGTCTCTAGGTTTACGCCAAAACTTTTTAGGAAAAAATCAATCAAGTAGGATAAATTTTTTGTGTTTCTATTTTTCACGCTTTTTTAGAATGCATGACGTTATTATGCAGAATTTACGTTTTCTCGTTCATTAAAGCATCCAAAATAAGCTGTACAATTATCATCATAAAACTGACTACCAAAAAAACAACGCATTTTAATTAATTATTAAACCTTTATGTTCGATAGATATCTATGGATTTATGTAAACACCCACTCAATGTGTTCACTTTAGATGGGATAGAAAAAGAAGATTAATACTAAAAAGACTTTAGAAACAAAGATACAAAAGCCTGGAAAGAAATCTAAATTAGAAAATATA